GACACAGACAGGCTGGTGCAAGTCCTTGTCCCGTAGAATATGCCAAGCCCCACAGCATCCAGTTCAGGGCTGGGGTTCCAGTTGGGGGCATTGAGAGCCCCACAGGTAAGCTTGTTTCTGCACCCCATATGCAGAGAGAGGCCTGGCTCTGCCTGCGTGCCTCAGGATCCTGACCACTCAGCCACATCCCTGACACAGCTCCATCGGAAAGTGTCAGTCAGCACCTCTCCCCCTCCTCCTGCTTCCTGCCGCCAACACGGCTACTATAGAATGTGACAATTCTCTCTTCACGAGGAGACCAAGACAGAGAGACCCCAAATGCCCAAGTCACCCATCCATCAGTCAGTGCATCCAGATGAGACCCCGGGGTTGTGGGACATCCACCTCTGACTAGTCACTGAAGCAAGTGAGCAGTTCTGTCCCCATCCCCCAGACGTGGAGACCCCACAGCAGACCCTTACTACCCAGGACATGTCCTTGCAGGTCTTAAGACCTTTGTGCTGTCAGTCCAGCAGCTGCCCAGAGCCTAGTGGGACGCCCATCTGCTGGCCTCAAATCAGGGAGCCGGCTTTTCTTGCTCCCAGAACATCCTGTCTTAGCCCTTGGCAAGCCAACGCGGGCTCAGGGCTTTCAATCCCCAGAAAATCTCTGATCTGAAGCAAAGGATTTCTGAGATTCTGATGCATTTGTAGCACAGAAAATCCATCATAGCAGAAGAAAACCTCCCCAAGGAGGCTTAACCAGCAGGGTGGAGGGAGAGCTAGTGCCAGCCTGCACTGCCTGGCCAGGCAGGTAGGCAGCATCCACACAGGCCTTCCCAGGGTTGGGTTAGCAGTCTGGAAAAGGGGCATGGCTAAGGGAAGGTGGAGAGGGGATAGGTGAGTCAGGGCTGGGGTCTGGAGACTAGAGATACCAGACCTCAGCACTGAGCCTTTGAAGGCCAAAGGGGGGAGCTGGGGCTGGACTCTGTGTCTTAGTGGGCTTGAACATGTTCCCTGAGTCTGGATACTCTGTTTGGGCTTGGATTCATCTTTTCCAAGGTTGTTTGGACAGTTGACAAGGAACAGGGAAAAGCTGGAGAAACCTGAAGTCTAAACTCTGGGACACAGATGAAAAGTTCCAAACCAAACGACTCTGGCCAAAGTCAAAGGCCAGAGGGGTGCTGTCAAAACTCCATGGGGTGCCTCGTCTCCAGCTAAACTCACCATTCTCCCGAGGGGACATGACCAGTTGGTCAGGAAGGTGTGGGTTCACTATGTCCCGTGTCCTTCCTGGTGCTCTAATTCAGTTTTAGCTTTGGCAGCATCGTTTTAAGACTCAAATACTTAACCTAACAAAACAGACACCAGGACATTATTGCCTGACTTTCCCTCCTGCAGCTGCAGGCTGATTATCACCCAACTATAACTGAGTCCACGGCAAACTCACACATCCCTCATCAGTGTCAGGGTCCTATTTCCTATGCCACCCCACCCTTGCCCTCAGGGGGAGAGGGCCCTGTCCTCAAGTGGTACCTTCTCCATCCCTGCCTCTTTGGTGCTGGGATGGGGTATGCACTATATCTGCATCCCTGATGAGATGGTAGTAGACAGAGATGCCTAAACAGTGAGGACCACCCCTGCTATGCCATGGTATCAGGGAGGACCCCGGACCTCTGGCTCCACATGGACCCAGTATCCAGGCTGAGCATCCCAGACAGAAAACCCCAGCAACAGATGGGATTGGGGCTTTCCTGCTGGCCAGTGTGCTGACCCTGCCTGCCCGTGGCCCCACCCACTGCTTTCTCCTGAGATCTGATTGGACTTTATCTTACCTACAGGGCTTGGCCCTCCAAAGTCACCACTCACCTCTGAAAAAAGACCCAAGGATCTATAGTACCCACGCATGAGGAGACAAGAAGAGAGGTACCCTGGCCGCCAGCCACCTGGCTCAAGGTCAGGCACACGGGGCCTATAGCCTCTCCTAGCCCTCCCAGGTTGGGTCAGCACCCTCCAGCCTTCATTCGCTGACAGCCAGGCTTCTTTCAAGAAGTTTCCCCTGTTTGCTGAGTTACTCTGACATTCCCATCCTCCCACAAACCTATCCCGAAGAGCGGGAACCCCTGCATCCAATGCTTCCTTGTCTATTCGCTATCTGGTACACACTTAGGGATAGGGCCAACCCCCTCAAATCCTGAGCTACAGATTATGGTCCAGCTGTCCACTGTCCACTCCTAGACAAGCCAGTCAGTCATGCCCTAGAACCACGCACCTCCCCTTAGCTCACCATCTCACCCTGCTCACCTGTTCCAGGTTCCTCAAATGCCATTGTCACCCCACTGCCCATATCCTTCCCATCCAACAGGGCCACCCCTTAACTCTAAACCCTTATCCCTGCACCGTGAGTGCTGGGTTTCAAAGCCAGGTGCCTACCTGGATATGTCACAGTGAGTCCAGTGGGTGACGAAGCCATGACCTAGACCAAAGACAGTAGGAGTTAGTGTCTACATTGCACTCGTCCTTTGCCCTCCCCCTGAACCCCAAGAAACGGAATGGTAACTCCAAAAATGACATAGGCCTGAAGGTCTGGACAACCCACAGCCTGGAGGATACGGCTTTATCCTCCAGACTCTTTTTGTTCTTAGACCCCATAGTCCTGACCACCCAAGCAATGGTTTGACAAGACAGTCCAGGAGACAGCTGAGGTCAGGGGTGTTCTGAGGAAGTTTGCAAACAAGGGTCTCCAGGCTACCCCCTTCTAGCTTGAAGTTCAGCTGGACTTTAAGGGTCCCCAGATTGTTCCTCATCCATACTCATGGCTCAGCTAGACCCTACTGCCCATGACCTGAGCAGCCCATGATTGCTGAACAACAAGGCTACATGGCCCATAGTGACCACAGTGCTACTTTCTGGCTCTGGCATGCTGTCCCATACCTTACAGAGCCTTCCTGGGAGCCCACCGGTGAGACAAACAGCCACCCAACCCCAGAATGAGTTCTGGACCTATGCTTCAGGCGGAGCTGGACCAGAGAGTAGATGGAACGTGAGCTGAAGGGTAGCCACGTGGGCAGGTGGAGGAGGATGAAGGCCAAAGCCAGGCACATTTGCTATCTCATGCACAGACCTCCCCGTTCCAACTGGAAAAGAGTGGAGGCTGAACCTACCCAGGGCTCCACACATCCCCAGCACATGTTGTAACAGGGCTGGTCCTGAGCAAGAAACAGAGTCCCGCCATCCCAGCAACTCTGAAGGAACAAAGTGGTAGTGGGGCCTCATGGGGGCGGGGCAGAAAAGGGAACATGACACCCAGCACTGTTCAGGTCAGCCTTGAGAGTGACAGTCACATGCCTAGGGTACAGGCAGGGGGTACCCCATGCAGGTCTGACTGTATGAGCATTTGTAACACAGCGCTGTGCAGCCTTGGGGACTCAAGCAGATACAAAGCAGCTCCCCAAACAAGAGTTGGACACCCTAGAGCCAACCATACGCAGGCCTCTGAGGGTGTACTTTGCCACTAAGCAAGAGGCCACATCCTCAACAGCCTCCACAAAGGGCATCTGCTCAGGGGTGGGCATGGCTACAGGATCAACATGAGACCCCAAGCAAGCGTGGACCGCATGGGACAATAAAGCACATGATCAGCTTAGGTCCTTGGGTGGGCTGTGTGGGACCAGCGACTACCCATCTGCAGGCCCCTGACCTGAGGTGAAACCCCCACCCTATTAGCCACCCCATCTCTAGAAGAGGAGTCATGGCTGGGAACCCTGGTTCCACATAGGGCCCTAATCAATGACAACTATGCCAACTGCTGGGGCTTCTAGTGTCTTGAGGGGACTGGCACAGGAGAAGAGCCTGAGATGGCCTTTCCCTGGAGACTTCCCACCTGATGTCCCCCTTCTCTCAGTGTGTCATGGTGCCCACAGACCAACCCCCACCCACTCAGGTGTAGGGCCCAGGCCAGTCCACCTCAGGTAGAGGGTGAACATCCAGGCTTCAACAGCATGGATTCAACCTTACCAGAGCTGCCCACCTGGGCATCCCTCTGCCTGCCGCAGGGAAGACCCACGGGAGCAGAGAGAGCTAAGTAAGAGAACAAGGGCGTGGGAGCAGAGCAGTGCCTACCCCTCTGGCTGGCCATCTCCCTGACTCCTCGATCCTTCTGCAGGGAGAATGCGTCTCTCCTAGTGAACACGCATCTGCTGGGTGCTTCCATAGGATTTCATCAGACCCCGGGGCCAGCCCATGAGGTGAGGACGGTTACCCATCAATGGGGGAGGAAACTGAGGCTCACAGAGGTGCAGTGACTTTCAGGGTCACCCAGTCAGTGGGTAGTGATTGTGGCCAAGCCCCCAGAGCCTGCTCTTCCCTACACAGAAACTTGAGGGAGCCAGGCTCCCCAATTTCCAGCAGGGCTGCCAGCGAGGATGGAAACAGGTAGACAGGGAGGCGCTGCTGCCTAGAGCTCTCTCTAGCACAGAGGGAACGAGATGGGTGGGGCCGGGTTAGGGGTCGGGTGAGTCTGAGCTCAGAGCAGGCCTCGCATGGCATGGGGAGATGAAAATGCAGCACGGCACATGGGCAGCCCTGGGCCTGAGGCTGAACGACCACGGCTCACCTCAGTGTGGTTTCCACAAGCCACACATGATACACACACTATAAGCTCCCCCCCATAGACACACACACAGAAAGACACACAGACACACACAGAGACACACACACATACACACACGCACACACACATACACACGCACACACACACACAGAAAGACACACAGAGACACACACACATACACACACGCACACACACATACACACGCACACACACACACACACACACACCATGCCCCCAGCCCCAGAGCTATCCAAAGCCACTCATCCTCTTTCCCGTGTCCACGACACCCAGACCTCAGGCTGAGGGCCAGGCCCCTGGAGTTTCCTCAGTCCTAGGCCTAGGAGCAAGGTTGGCCAAATGGAACAAGGCAAGACAGTAAGAAAAGACAACTTTATTTCCAGTCTGAGAATGTATTACAAATAGATTTTAAAAACGCAATAGAGCAACATGGATTGGCCGACGGTGCCAGGTACAGATGGAGGCATTGACAGGTGAGTTGGCCTGCCAGGTCAGGACTGCAGGTGCCAATGGAGGGACTCATAAAGGGTGGGCACAGCCACACCAACCTTCTGACACGGGGAAGCAGAGCCCCTCTGTTTCACACAAGGGAACACGCAGCCTGGGGTGGGAGACACCCAAACACAGAGGCAGGGTGAACTGCGGGTAAGGCCAGAGCCCCCCCAAAATGCCAGTGGAGCCCTGATTTCTTCCACCTGGTCCTGGCCACCAGCTTCCTGGTCCCAGCAAGAAGGCACAGGGGTACGCTGTTGGGAGGTTCTGCAAGAGACCCTCCAGCAAACTCATCTCGGGCATCTGGGGAACACTCAACCTCTTGGTGGTGCCGCAGACTCTGGCAGCCCACTTCTCAGAGCCCTCCGGGAGCCCGGGAGCAGGTTCAAGTGCAGAGGGGGTCAAAGTCACAGACCCCTCAAGTCATGGAGCCTCCTGAGCGTCAGTTTCCTCCCCATGGGATGGGACACCGACCCCACCTGTGGGTGCTGCAAGATGACAGGCAAAGCAGATCATATACAGACCGTGCCCAGTCTGTGGGCTGCATACGCAGAGCTGCTGGCTCACAGAATTAGGGAGTCTTGAGCAGTTGCAGCAGATTTGATTTGGGGTAGGAAGTATGTCTGTACACTGCAGAAATGACCAAGAATGACAGAGGGTGGTTATCCAGGAAGAGACAGTGGACCAGGCCAAGCCTCGCTGTCACTGAGAACTGACCCCAGCCATGGAGATCTTTTGCCCCCGGCAGGGAAATACATGACAGGAGCCCACAGGCATAGCACCCCCATGCGTGATGCACAAGGTAAGAAGATAGTGGGAGAAGTTGGATCAGTGGCTCTCCTGACCCCAACCTGCCCAGCCTCCATCACTGGCACTCACCGCACCCTCCTAGGGGAGGACAGTCCTGTGGTTGTCATCCTGCCCCTAAGGCCCTTGCTACAGGTCTGACAGCTTCTTACAACAGCACAGAGCATCCCCTCTGCAAAGAGGCTAGGGCCCCTCCTCTCCTGTCTGGAGGGGCCATATCCAGCCCTTGGCAGCAGTGGCCAGCCTGCTATCTCAGGGAGGGGGCTTTACCTTGAGTCCGCCACAGACTGAACATGACAAAAAGAAAGCCGGAGGCGGCCCTGCATGGGGGCTGCCTGCTTCCCAGGGCTCGCCAGGGGATGGACTGGGCAGCGTGGCTTCACTGCCTGGGCCTTCTGTTGCCTGCCCCCGTCGTCGAGCTCCCAGGCAACTGGAGGGACACCCCATGGGTGGCTGACCACCCAAGTCCGTGGCCGAACTGTGGTCAGAGCTGCCTTGAGAGGCTGGGCTTGGGTCTCTGGGGGCCTGGCGCAGGCTTCGAGGCGTGTCATAGTGATGTCTTAACGAGGTGGGCACCTGGTATTCGGCCACCCCGGGTGGGCAGGCGCACAGTTTGGGCTCAGGTGCACTGGCTCCAGAAGGCAGGCTAAGTAGAGAACCAAACTCCTCTCCAGCCCGCCACACGTCCAGGCTGCTGCCAACATAGGATGAGAAGCTGCCAGAGTAGGAGGAGTGGCTTCCTGTGGCGATGCCACTGTCAGAGGAACTCTGGCGGCCAACCTCCTGTAACTGTCGAGGCCGCAGCGGCTTGAGGGGTGGCCTTGAGGCGCCCAGCATGGCTTCTCCTGGACCCTGGGCAGCCACCAGCCCTGGCCCTTCCTGTGATGTGCTGGCTGAGGACGAGGACTGTTCTGGCCATGCCGTGAGCCGGCTGCTGGCACTGACGTCTGAGTGGCTGGCCTCGGAGGAGGAACTGGATAGGCTTCGATCATCCCCTGAGACAAAGCAGAAAGTGAGGCTGCTGGGGGGGTCCAAGCAGGGGGTGTGGTCAGTGAGTATGCTATGACAGTCTGCTTCTCCCCAGCCCCAAACCTGGACACTGGAGCAGCAGGTCAGGGTCTGCAAGGCAGCCTCTTCCTCATCCAACCCCTGGCCTACTCTCAGTGGCAGCCTTTTGAGAGCCCCTATGCTTCCCTCCCCCCTCCCCAGGCACTTCCTCGATCCAGTCTGAGTCTCTCTACCTGGACTCCACCCTCACCAATACAGTCCCCTCCCCCAAGGCAGGTACCTGCCTCCAGCTGTATATCTATGACCCAGATCCTGAGCTCCCTCCTCCTCTCCTGGTCCAACTCTTCGGACTACTGCCCTGGCCAGCTTCTAGCCCAGCCGAGACCTGGGGCAACCTATCCCCCTTCAGCATCCTGGGTGTGTTCACACCAGGCTGCCCCATCCAGCCTGCTCTTCCTCTGACACCATCACTGCGTCCTCCCCTTGTGGGACTGTGAGCTTCTAAGGACAAGAGCACGCCTGGGATCAAATCTTGTCCACCGCCCATCCCTCCATCCTGCCAGGGCTCTGCCTTGCCTCACTGTGTGCATGGAAAAAGCTCACACTATGGGAGGGGAGAGGGCCACTGTCCCACTGTGGACCTCTAGGAACGGTGAGAGGCACCAGACAGTATTTTTCCAGCCGAGGAAGACCTGGTCAAGCCCACCTACCAAGGCTTCCTTGCTAGACTTCCATGTTCGTCCACCAATGTTACTATTGACAGTAGCTACAGAGGACCATCAGCTCCTGGGGAGCCAGCTCAGGTGGCCCCTGAGCATTTTGTCAGAAAACAGACAAGAAAGCTAAATTGTAGAAGACTTGGGCCTTGCCCAGGCCACACAGCTAGTGGGTGGGAAGGGATTCAAAGTCGGGTCACACTTCCCATCACAGTTGCGGTTGGTGTTTGGTAAGTTTACAGGATACTGAGTGGATGAGGGGAGAATAAATGAATAAGAGAAAGAAGAAAGGTGAGTAGGAAGGGGAGCAATGAGTGGCTAAATGGGTGGGTGACAAAGGAATGAATGAGCAGGAGGAATGGATGGATGGGTGGGTGGGTGGGTGGATGGATGGATGGGTGGGTGGGTGGATGGATGGGTGGGTGGGTGGGTGGATGGATGGGTGGATGAATGATGGATGGGTGAGTGGATGGGTGGGTGGGTGAAGAATGAGTGAACAAGAGGGAGAAGGATGCCTGAGATGGATGGCAGCTACCTGCACAGGGCAGAAGGGCCGTGAATGTGTACACAAGGAGACTCTATGCAGACAGACGGCTGCCCGAGCTGAAGCTGAGTGGGGAGGCAAGTACTTAGAGGTCCCTGCAGATAGAACCAACCACTGACTCTACCTCCACTGCCTGGCTGGCCAGAGTGTGAAAGCAGGCTAAGTCGCTTCTCCAGCTGCAGGGCTTCCAGCGCTTCCTGGGCAACACGCTCCTCTGAGGCTGAGGGCCCCCCAGGGCTCGGGTCTGTGCAGAGAAAAGGACCAGTGAGGCGACAATCACCCCTGCACCCCACCCCTTCACCCCCTGCACCCCACCCCTACACTACCAGGACACCTGGCAAGTCTAGAATCTTCAGAGCCAAGGCATCCTGAACTAGCCTCTAGGAGGCCCAGCCCTGCCCTGCGCCTTGGCCCGGCTGCTGGGCATCAAACACAGGCTACTCAGACCCCCTAGATGCCCAGCTGAGGTCTCTCTCTGTGAACAAGCCTCCATCTATCCAGTCCATGTTCTTGTCCTTGTGGATATACCCCTGAAATTCTCAGCTTCAGTCTCTGGCCCTGAAGTTGGTCCCCTATCTGTCCAGCATAGGTGCCTGTCTGTGTATAACCCCCAGCTCAGATCCATGTCCCCTAAGGATAGGCACACAACTGCCCAGCCTGGGTCCCCGTCCTTGTGACAATCCCCACCCTCCCCAGGTATGAGCCTCTCCTTGCTGCTAATGGGACCTCCTCAGGACCACACCTCCCCTCATCTAGAGAGGTCTGCCCAGCCCTAACTCACCACGCCCACTTCTCAGAGCTCCATTTTGGTCTGAATAAAATGCCTCCCTGGACCTGTTATGGTTGGGTGGGATCTTTTCCTGGCCCCTCACTGTCTTCCACCTCTGAGCCATACCATTATAGGTGACAGAGCAGGAAGGTGGCCACCCTGTTCTCCTCAGGCATTCTCCTCTCCTGTCTTTGCTGGGGTGCTCATGCAAGGTCCCCCTTGCCCATATCCACACTGCCTATCTGAAGCCTTTGACAATGTCGACATTTCGCTGAGAGGTAGCCAGGCTGGAAGCAGTGGGGACCTGCTCCTCTGGCCACCCCATTCTAGCTCACAGTACCCTCCCTCCTTCCTTCAGAAATACCTTGGAGCACAGTGAGCCCCAGAGAGCCAGGGGGTGTTCTATGATTGGCACCTTGTTGCTTCCCCAGCAATAGTGTCCCCCAATTAGAAAGGGCCACAAAAGCACCATGAATGCTATCCTCAGAACAGGAGTTCCCAGAATCCTCTATCTTCCTCTTCCCTCCTGCCTGCTTTGGGGTCGGGTCTTCATGTGGAGGGCTGAGGCCACAGTGGGTCTGACCCCAGTGAGAGCCCACACAATAGCATACCTGCAAACCTAGAGTGTGGGGCACTGCTCAAGAGTGCATTCTCGGAGCCCCTCAGGGCTGTGGGACTTTAATGTCATGCCATCCACAGGGTCCTTGTCCTCCCATAAGCCCTCCCCACGTGGGTCAGTGCTGTAGGACTCCACAATTGCCCTAGCTGGATGCTGACTCTGAACCACACAGTTGCCATGCCGGGGCGATCCAAGGCCCCATATACCTGAGCAGGACACCTAGGATACAGTGTTTGCAGACCCAGACCCTGGCAGTGGCATTGTCTGAGCACACCCAGATGACCTGATTAAGACAGCTGTGTGTGAAACAGGTCAGGGTACCCCACCAGCCCAGCCCTATCTGGGGATAGCCCACTCCCTGCCTGGGCTGGGGCACAACTCATTTCCAAGGGGAGCCTTCTATGTCATCCTCTGCCCAGCGCTGTGTCCAGTACTCCCTTCACCCAGAATCATTTAAAACAAGCAGGAGAGTAGATACCCCTAAAGGCCAGGTCCTGTTTCTGGGCACACCAACAGTGGCATATACACCATATACATGAGTCTGGGGGTGCATATGCTCCAAGGAACCTCTAGAAATGTGTGTCTCTGGGGGAAAAACACAGTCCCCCCAACACCCTGTGGCCCACTGGCATTTCCCCCTCCACACTGTACATCTGCAACTGCAAGGCAGAGAAACACCAGCAGGGGGCACTGCAAGAGGGCCCAGACCACAGGGACGGCTCCGGGCTCTCCTGCAGCTCTCTCGCTGGCTACTGGGGTGCAGGGGGCAGCAGATTAGGAGGACCTGGTGCCCATGAGTTTGGCTCAGCATTTGAAACTGTGTTCTCTATCCTCGTAAAATGGGTCCAAGGTGCCCTCAGCCACTTTGGGGATTAGAGGTTAAACAAGAGGCACGCTTAAGTGGGGACCACCCTAAATACATCTTAAAACCCCCACACATACCAGATAACCTCACAGAATGGCTCCAAGCCAAATGCCAGGCTCAGACACCATGGTCCTGACCCCAAGCATCAGAGAAATATCAACTGTCCCCATGTCAGTGACCTGGAGCCAGGCTGTCTCTGCTCCATATTTAGGGTCTTGGGCCACTTGCTGTTCAGCCTCAGCAACTGTGGCTCGCCTGGGTCAACCAGAAGGCCACAAGCCTTGATGTCCCAATGGTCCATGTCCATGAAGGAGGGGCAACTGCAGGAGAAGTCGACCCCCTTAGGGACCCCAGGCTGCACGGAGCCTAGAGGGCTACTGTCCTAGGCCAGTGGGCTCTAGGGTTCTTAGTTGTGGATGGGAGAGGGCGGGCCATATCACTAGACTGATGGAGCAGATTACCAGCCCCAGACCACCAAGGGCACCTCCCCTGCCACATTCCTGCACACACCTGGGAGAACTGGCCGAAGCCCAAATGGGCCTTTGGTCGGGGAGATGCCTCGGACAATGCAGTCAAACAGAAAGCTGATCTGCTCTCCCTCAGCTGAGGACAAGAAGAAGACTCCAGCCCCTGCAGAAGAAGGACAGAGAGACACAGGGGTCAGCCAGCCCCAGCAGGGGTTGGAGAGACACCCAGAGCTGGTCTGGGGTTGAGGTGCAAGAAACCTGAGCAATCTCCAGCCCAAATCCAAGTGACTTTATATCCTCACGAAGCCACACTCCCAGGGCCCCAGACCTCACGCGCCTCTTCTGTGGCCTAGGGAGCCCATCAATGTGTCCTGAGGGTACTGAGTTGAGTGCAGTCTCTTTAGCAATGCCTAGGAACTGACAGGGAAACCTGTGCCAAAACGCCAGCTGGGTGTCCTTCCCAGACAGCATCGCATGGCCTGAGAACAGCAGGCCCACATCTCATGAGGGCAACCTGTCCTGACTTTCTGTCCAAGACTACTCTCCTGAAAGGATCTTCAGCAACCCACTGCACGCACCTCCTGTGGGGAGACACGCAGGCCAGGCCATCCTCTGCCCTCCAGGCTCCCTCCAGGCTTCCTGAGGCTCTTCCCCAGCCTGTGCTAATGACAAGGGAGGCACTTCTGGGAGGTCTCCTTGGGTCTCTCAGTGTGGCCAAGACCTCACCCAGGGCTGTGTGAAGTCACCTGCAGATGTTTGTCCCACTGTGGCGCAGTGTGGTGCGCCCACACCACAAGTGATCAGCTGTCACTCTGACCAGTACAGTGTCCCCACACACACTAAGAGTGACCTCTCCCTTGCTCGGAGGTCAAAGGGCAAAGACGAAGCTCTGAGGCCTGACTCTGCCCCTCCTGCCCACTCAGCAGAAGGAAGGAATGGTGTGCAATCAGCGCAGGGTCACTTGGGCAGAGGGACCACATAGGTGCTCAGAGCCTCTGTGCCCAGAGGAGCCCAGAGCAATGAGTCAGCAGGGAGGGCACCCCGAGGCCATCTGCCATCAGGCACCAGGCCGACCCTCCTGCTGGGCTGTGCCTCCACCAAGGGTGAATGAAATCCCTCCCTGGCCGAGTGAATGAGAGAGCAGCCAGGCTGGCTGCACCCACCTGCTGAGCCAAGGCCACGGGACTGGACACTCGGTATGTCACCACACAAGAATCTCTCTCTGCTCCGGACCTCTGCCCGTTGCCCAAAGAAAGGCAGGCAGGGTCCATGCAGAACTCTCAGGGACAGCTCTAGGACTGGCCAAAGAGGTAAGATCTGAGAAGTCCCCTCGCTAAAATTTCTGCTTCTAGGTCACACTTCTTTGCTGAACATGAAGCTGTGGATTCTAGGGACTCAACCAGTACCAAGACACGTGGAAATGGCCACCCCAGGGCGCACAGGCAATGATAGCACCTGTGATTGCTGCTGCACCCCTGCATGGCCGCCCCAGAGCGTATAGGCAATGACAGCACCTGTGATTGCTGCTGTACCCCTGCATGGCTGCCCCAGAGCGTATAGGCAATGACAGCACCTGTGATTGCTGCTGCACCCCTGCATGGCTGCCCCAGGGCGCACAGGCAATGGCAGCACCTGTGATTGCTGCTGCACCCCTGCATGGCTGCCCCAGGGCGCACAGGCAATGACAGCACCTGTGATTGCTGAAGCTTCGTATTGTCTTAAACCACGTATAGGTATAGCAATGCCATTCTTGTTTTAGAGTCAGGTAAGAACGTCTATGATCCCAGGCAAGAGATGGACTCAAGCCTAGCGCAGAGGCCGCTGGGACATTGCCTAGCTATAGAACTGGTTCTACACTGGGAAGCTGGGGACCAAAAGAAAAAGTGGGACATGGAGCAGGAGTGGACAGCTACCCTGAAGCCCGCCCAGGAGTCCACCCCCAGAGGCTTACTGGCCCCAAAAGGCCCTGGTGGATCTGGTAGAAGGACTCTGCAAGCCAAGAACTCTGCTGGGCCTTGGTTAAGCAAAGTATGCTCATCAGCCTGGCTCCCATCTGCTGGCCAACTCACACAAAGCATCCCGTGCTTGCTCCCTGTCCCCATCTACCACCCCACCCACTGTAGGGCTCAGTCAGTCTGGCCCCAGCTCTCATGGAAGGCCAGGCCTCTAATCCTGAGCTTACAGGCAGCTGGCAGAAACTGCAGGACAATCAGTCCCCCGACTATAAAAAACCACATTACCGAAGAGAGTGGAGCCGGCCCTGCATTCCACCACGGCGGCGTCTGCGGAGTATCATGCTGCCCAGGAGATGCGATCAGCCAGACAAGGCCCAGGAGCCCAGCAGCTACCAACCTGGGCCCCAAATGCCCATGTGGCATCCCTACTAGCCACCCCATCTATAGCTCTGAAGGACACCTATCTTCAAAGGACCATTAACCTGGGATCTCAGAGTTCAGGGATGAGGCTTCCTTGGAATACATTTCTATCTCTGATCCTGTCCCCTCTATCCTCCCTACCTGTCAAAGGGCTCCCTAAACATGCTTGCCCCACCTAGCATGCCTCCACATGGGAGATGCCCAACCATACTCCTTAGGCTGTAACAACGTCCTTTAAGATAGCACCTTTTATTAAGTCGTGACAAACCCCGACCCTTACCCCTATCTAAGGAAGCCAAATGTTCATCCTGAGATGCTTTTACGTCTGATTCAGACCTCGTGATGTTTACTCTGCCTCACGTCCCTTTACATGTCTGCTGCACTAGAGCCCAGACCAAACACCGTGTAACAGTGGCCCTGATGACCTCCCAGGACCTGCTGCCGGAGGTAAGTGTAAAAAGATGCCTCCAGGAACGTCTCTGTGTTGCTAATTGGATTGTATGTTCTAAGAAAGGCTGGAGCCCAGGTTCTCTGTCCAGCCGACTGCCCACCCAGAAGGCTAGGTCCCCTTCTCTTACTGCCCCAGGGCCAGCCTGAGACCCCTCTAAATAGTGTAAAGTAACCAAGGTAACGCTCTATTCTTCGGTTCTGGGACGAGGCCCCTGAGGGAGCCGAGCACCACCCATTTGTGCCCTCTTGGAACCATCCACCACACAGAAAAGCCCAGCTATTCTGCTAGGAAAGGAGGTCCCAAGAGGAACTGCGGCCTCCCTACCAAGCCCAGGACCTGCACCATCTGTCTTCACGGTTCGAGTGACCCATTCTGTCTCGTGGGACATAGATGAGCCATCTCACTGAGCCCTGCTCTGAATTCTGACCCAGAACTCAACAGCAGAACAGACACTACACTCGGGGTGTTTACTACAAGGCAATGGGTAATACAAGGACCCGAAGATGAAGAACCAAGAGCTCCTGTGTAGTGATATCTTGTTTGTATTTTAATAAATAAAGCTTGCCTGAAGAGCAGAGAGTAAAACAGCTCCACTGGTCAGTCTACAGACCAGGCAGTGGTAACACACACCTTTAATTCCAGTAGCCACACCAGTTTGCCATAGAAACCAGGTGGTGCATGCCTTTAATCCCAATGGTGCTCGCCTTTAATCCCAGGCCTAGAGAGGATTACAAAATGGGAGGAGACAACTCTCAGACACAGCCTCATTCTGAGATTCCTGGAGGCAGGATCGCCATTTCAGACTGAGGTAGAGGTAAGGGCCAGCGGCTGGCTGTTTTGCTTTTCTGACCTTCAGGTTGAACCCCAATTTCTGTCTCTGGGTTTTTTTTATTAATTGCGCTACATTCTTAGGGTGTACCAGCTTTTGCTCTAGTGGAGAATGTCCTTGACATCACTATGACAATGACCTCTAGATACACACACTTCAAAATATCCCAGGCTTGGCCCAGCGGGGACCAGCATCTTCCTGAGCAGAGTGAGAGCCATCAGCTAAAGACCCTGTCACTTGTCACTGGGCACCCTTGGTGGCACCTGCATTGACCTGTGGAACATTCTGCAGGCCTGGATGCGGTCATTCCTTCATTCCTCTGCCTGCTTCCACTCTCTTGCACCTGCTTCAAGCCTTGGGGGTTCCTGCTCACCTATGCAGCCTACAGCAGGATCCTGATAGGCCCTCGCTCTTCAGTTTTTTGAAGACCAAGTTGAGGTCCTGGTCCTCAGGAGGACAGTGAGAAGCCAGGCTCAGGATGGGCATGGGGTGAGGTCACTTCCAGACCTCAGGAAGGGAGACCCCAAAGCCCAAGTTCAGGTACACAGTAGGTGCATAGGGCCACCTCAAGAGGGTGTTATTGGGTGGGGATTGACACGGGCTCTCATGTCCAGATGAGGAAGTCAGGGCACTGGGCTCCATCCCAAGTGTTCTGAAGAATGACGTTGGTCACACACCATCACTGGCATCCCCAAAGAGTGATGTTTCTGTCTAGGAACCTAATTCTCCCATGCAGCAGCCTGGGCTGAGACACGAAGTCTCCTTGTACCCCAGGAGGTCACATGGCCTGTCTCAAAGGTCAGAGGACACCGTGCCTCTCCTCTCTGACAGCTTGCGGCAAATTAGCCCCCAGAGGACGCAGCTGGTGGCCACTGACAGCTGGCAGTGTCTGGATTACCTAGCAGCTGGTCCTGCTCCCTGGCTCCCAGCTTGGTGCCCACTCTGCCCAAGAAGGCCTTTTGTTCCTCAAGAGGAAGAAGGGCTGGCACGTGGTGGATGGAGGCCTGGGGTAAGCAGCCAGCCCCACCCTTCCGCAGGAACAGCTGCACACACAAACATGAACTGGGTCATTTCTGCCACTGCCTCCACATGGTCATGAGTACCCACGGCTGCCCATGCCTCAGGCTCCTCTTCCTCAAAACTGAGATAGGGTGGAAGCCCCATGGGTGAAGCCCCATGAGCTAGGGAACATCTGAGCACCTAGACGTGTCCCTCTCAGTCTCCTGTAGGGCAGCTCTCAGGAAGCCCACCATGGCCAGCCTGGACCCTGTGTGACAGCAGATACCACACTGATGGGGCCTGGACTCACTCTGTATGCCGATGTCACTATATGATGAAGGGAGAGTCCACTCAAACCCAGGTCAGCAGAACTGTAGAGACACGACCACGGGTCTGAAGAATCGTGACAGTCGGCCCCAGGGCCCTGACTCAATAACAGTCACTGAATGCAGGATCTTCTCTGGAGGCCACAGAAAAGTCCCTATAAATGGCCACTCCTCCTGAATGTCACTCCACCACTGAGTCCAAGGGCCTTTGTTCCAGAGGCCTCCTGTCTGGGATGCCTGCATCACTACCCTGCTGCCCAAGAACAAAGCATTACGAAGGCATTGGGCTCCGCAGAACCAAGGGTCCTCATCCCAGCTCTGATCCTGCTGCTCCCACCTCAGCAAGAGGTCCCACAATCTCCATGCAGATGGCACTCCTGGAAACCACCAGTCACCCCCCCCCGCAGCCACCCCACTGCAGCCACCCTGCTGCAGCCACCCTGCTGCAGCCACCCCGCCACAGTCACCCTGCTGCAACCACCCTGCTGCAGCCACCCCGCTGCAGCCACCCTGCTGCAGCCACCCCGCCACAGTCACCCTGCTACAGCCACCCCACTGCAACCACCCCACTGCAGCCACCCCACTGCAACCACCCTGCTGCAGCCACCCCACTGCAGCCACCCTGCTGCAGCCACCCCACTGCAGCCACCCCGCTACAGCCACCCCGCTGCAGC